AATAGTTGGTAAATGATATAATATCAACAATATTTTTATACAAAAGCAACTAATTATCTTGATTAACTGTCCACATAAATCCAAATTAGTTTTCTTCAAATGTTCTAATTATAACAACAATTATAACAATTATTCTTATTAAAGTATAAAGATTTTTGAAGAAACTTCACTGTAACAACTAAAACATTGGTTTATCCAATGTATTTACTAAATATTATAAATATTTTAATTTTAAAATGAATACTAAATGATATGAAACTAATTAATTAAGAGCAAAATTATTTCTGTACTATGGTAATTCGTGAAATTAAGCTTATATACGCATTAAGCATAGATTCATATTTAGAATGCAAGCAATCGAATCATATTGCTATTTATAATACTTTAATACTAATAATAATACTTAATACTATTACTATAACAATAATAATAATAATATAATTTTTGTTTTGTTAGGTAAAAATTTCAAACGCTATTCCAATCTGACGCAGCATCGTAAACGTCATGGCAGAATGACAATGAGGAAAAAAGAATATGTGTGCCATTGTGGTGAAGTGTTAGCATCGAAAGCACGCTTCCTGTGGCACAAGGAAACACATGATGCCAAACCAAAATGTTGTCCTTATTGTTGTGATCGCTTTGTGCATGCAAACTCACTACGCAGGCATATACGTTTAGCGCATTCCGATAAATTTGATTATGCCGAGCCAATGGAGTGTCCCATGTGCAAACAAATTTTCGCTAAATCATCAATTAAAGCACATATGGCATCGCATACCATGGATGTGCAACACAGTTGCCCAATCTGTAATAAATCATTCTCAACGAAATGGAATCTGAAGATACATTCATGGGTGCATGCAAATCGTACCGCAAAGCCATTCAAATGCGAACACTGTCCTAAAGCATTCGTACGGGAAGTTGATTTTAAAAACCATATGAACGCACATAAACAGATCAAGCCATACACTTGCGAATACTGTGGCTGCAAATTTATTAGAAAGTACAATTATATGCGACATAGGCGTGAACATCATGGTAATAAAAAATTCACCTGTGATCTTTGCAAAAAATCTTTCCACCGGCACTATTACCTAATTGAGCATCGACGTATACACACTGGCGAACGGCCATTTCAATGCACGATCTGTGGCAAATGCTCCACAACAAAAACGAATCATAATAAACACTTGAAGATACATCATTCACGCGATCCGTTCACGGTGGAAGTATAAATTGTCAACCATTCTAGTGAACATTAAAACAAATGTTTAATTTAATTTAATTTTTTTTTTCTTATGACGTCGAAACTAACATTTTTATTAAACTATTTGTAAGTTGTTGATACAAAACAAACAAAAACAAAAAAAAAAACAAAAAAATTAATTAAAAACAGTTTAAGCTCATTACATAAAGTATTTGCTAAACTAATTGTAAGCAAATTAACTTAATTTAATTGAATGTATATTTGTGTGTGTGTAAAATTGAGATTTTACAAAAGTATTAATGTATTTAATGAATATTATGAATATTGTAATTTTATAATTAATATGAAATGATATAAAATTAATTAATTAAGGCAAGAATTATTTTAATAAATTGTTTTATGGATTTATATGTAAATTTACTTTGCAAATATTTTGTATTTTTATAAAAAGTAAATAATGCATAAATCTTGTTATGATTTAAATTCTAAAATGTCTTATTAATATCTTATAGTGAATGAAGCTTGAGATGTTACTTTTGCACTATACCGTATATTCCTATAACAATATTTTCGCTTCAAACTTTTATATCTGTATAAAATTCAGTTTTATTAAATGGTTCTTACAAGCTTAAACTATCTGGAACTGAAGGTGAAAACAAGATATCGCAGATTAGCAAGTTTACAAAAATGTGAGAATGAGACTGTTTTTGGAGCCCACTTTTGGAGTCGCAAACATTTTTCGAATAAGTTTATGAGAGCGTTCCTGAATTCCTAAATCGCAAGAATTTTGTGGGTTAAATTCATAAGTAAAACAATTTTATGCTATTTATCGTTGGAAAATATTTATATTTTATAATAATTCTTTAATGTTTGCAAAACTTAATTATAAATTTAAATATTTTTTTAACATTATTTTTTAGAAAGTAATTTGCTTGTAATAAGAAATTTTATTTTATGCAAAATTTTGTATTTAGTTAAAGTTACGTTGATTTTCGCTAAAAGCAATGGAATGGTCTCAAACATTTCTTATGGCATTCAATTGAAATAAAGTATACCTTGAATATGTCAGCAATTCGTATAATTATTAGAATACAAAATAAATTCATACCAAATTCTTGTGTTCACAGTTTGATAAATTAAGTAAATTTAAAGCCTGTTTTTAATATTTTCTTGTATCAATTTAAATTATATTATTAAGTTTAAACAAATTAGATTATTTTATTTAATAATTTCTGAAGTTTCACTTTAATTTCTTACTTATAATATATTTCTGTCAAACTACTTATATCAAAATATTTGATCAAGCATAAAATAAATTCATAGCAGTTAATGTGTTGCATAATGTTATTTAGTTTTTTTAATTTATAATATACATTTCCATTTTACATTTCATATAATTCTTGCAAATAATATAAAAGGCATATAAGCCCGAATAATAGGCGTAAATATACTAAGGAGTACATTTTTAATGTTGTGAAATTTGAATTCATTTCTGAAAAGTATTCATTCATATCAATCATCTTTATATATATAATTCTATAGTTTTTAAATTGCTCTTTATTTTTTAAAATAAGTATTAAATATTATTTTTGATGTTATGAATATATTTTTAAATTGTAGATTTTATTGTAAAATTATTAATTATAAATAAGAATATGTTTTAATTTGAAAACAAACAAATTATGTATAATATTATATTTTTTTTATTATTGAACTAAGGCGTACCAATTTTATGAACTAGTGAATTGAATTGTTTATTCTAAGCTATATAACAAAAAAAAAAACATAATAAGTGTAACAAATTTTGAAAGTATGAACATGCATATAAAAAAGTAGATTTCTTTTTTGTGTATAATTAATTTCAGGTTTAATGTCCTTTTACGTTTACTTACTCAATTTACAATATGCTTCCCACTTATTTTTACATAAATTTTAAAATTGTTTTATAATTGCTTAAGCTTTAAAATAAAAATATCTTACTATTTACAATAAAAATATATTGGTTTTAAATGTAAAAAAAAAAAATTAAAAAATTAAAAACACTACCGCATATTAATTGAAGTGCAATAATTTATATTTTAAGTTTTGAATAAGTTTTTTTGTATGTCATGTAATAAATTGTTAAAAATTTGTTTTACATAGTAAATTTAAGTTAGTTAAATTTATTTTAAACACATTTCTTTTGTTTGTCTACAAATTAAGTTAAATTTGCATTGATTGCAAAATTATATATTAATTATATGTATTAAAATAAACAAAAAATGTATTGATATAAAAATATATATTAAAAAAAAATTATTTGCATTTTGCAAAGAACAACTATTAAATCTATAAATAAAATATTATTTTCAATATAACATACATTTTTAAAACAAACAAACAAAAATAAAAAAACTAATAATATTAATTGTTTAAAAAATCGATTAGTTTAATTTTAAAATATTTCTTAAGTAATCTAAACAAAAATAAATAAATAATAATAAATATTAAAATATAGAAAAAAGAAATTGAATAAAAAAACTTATATAATTTACAAATATAAATACGATGTTTAATGAAATATTACAAATAAATTAAATTGGTCAAAAATTAAATATAGAAATATTAATTATATTTTAAAGATTGTTTTTTTTTTGTACATTTATCGTATTGATAGCGTTATTGTTTATGTTGTGTATCCTGAATGTAGAATTGCTTTTTAAGGTTCATTTGGGAGGGGTGAGCAACACAGGGGTAGTCTTAAAGTTGAGCTCCGTGACATACATTCGACCGATCGTGCTATCTTTGTTGCTGTAACCAGGACCGATATATTGTCCTTGATGAAATCAGCTTGAATTTCTTTACTTGAGAATGACAAAATTTGAATAGTGCTGGGATAGTTAAGAAAATGTATGATTTTAGCAAATTCAAGCAGTAGCGCCAGCCGTTATTGGGATATGCACTATTATTTATTATTGTGGTGCTACAATGATTGCTGAGCGAATCACTTTGAAGTAGTCTAAACTGCTCACTTTCATTATGTCCGAAATCTTAAAATTAAATAGTTGATATATGCAAATCGTGTATTTAGCATGTAGTAGATTGTAATTCTTAAATTAGTGTTACTCTACACTTCAAAAGATTAACATATAAGCTAAACTTCAATTTTGTAATGCAATATAAAAGTGTGTGGTATATTAAGTGCTGCGATCAGATATTGCTTGTATTGACGTCTTCTACTACAGGTTAATTCTAGCCTCAGCCAGTACTCTCAATATTGTTGATTTGATTTAACATGCACTTTTATGTTGTATGTTTTTCTACATTGTAGTATATGCAAATAATATTTGATGCGAACTTATAACGCTCAGGCGGCGTTTGAGTCTACAGAAAATAATATAATTTAAGTTCAATATAGTTTATACTTATTAGACTATACGACTTTCTATGCAACAATGTCATCTGTCGGCTGTGGGATAAGATCGTTTATTATTGATAAGACTTGTTGCTTTATGTTTTGTTTATGTTTTGCAACACTGTTAATGATGCTTTGACAAAATTATTATTCAATATAATAAATTAGGTTTTTTTAAAAGAAAGGTATTAAGGATTATCATTAATAGTTTAGATAGATCACGAGTCCTTTAAAGTCTTCTTAGAATTAATAGTACTAAGAGCTGCATTCATAGTAAGAGTGCAGCTTTGTCTATAACAAAGATGATTATGATTATGATCAATTCATATGATAAAAAGAGTATCAAAAAAATAAACTCTTCTGTAACATTTGCATCAATATCGCTTGTGTTGTTCAAGTACTCAAGAACTACAAAGCATAAGTATCTATAATAAATTTAATATTTATTTATGTTATCTTTGTAAGGAACAATCGATGATTAATTAGGTGTTTGTTTTAAGTCGAGAATAAGCTTCGGCCAGTAGGCATTACAATAACAAATACAAACAAATACAAATATTAGGGGCTAGGCATCAGTGATATATATGTTAAGCTACTGAAATCGTTAAACTAAGATGTTAAACAAGTTTTGATTTCAAAAATTCTCTTAAATAGTAATTAATATCTTCAATATCTCTATTATCCGTAAATTATTTATGTATATATTTCAAATAAAAATAGGTTATACTGACTGGCAGTAGACCTTTTGGTCCTTAGCGATACCAAAAAGTGCTCAATCTTTATGTCGATTTCGTAGAAGGCATTTTTGTGAATATATGAAATGCTTAAAAGCTTCATATTAGATATAGAGACATATTATTTAATGATTTTTTAAAGCATGTTTTTAGACTAGAACTTATTGGGATTTGAACCTATTCTAATACATATACAAAGAATATGTTCAGTTTACTATAGCATGTTTTAAATGTATTGAAACCGATTGCGAATATTATATAGATCATATACATATATTATTGAAATGCACCACACCATATTTGATGTAGAGAGTTCGCATGTCTATTAATAAACAAATTAGTCGTTGAATTTCAAAAGTGTGGCAATGGTAGTTTCAACAAACATTCCAAAACGAACTAAATATTTCCTGAATATATGCTCAAATAATTAATATGGATAGAAATAATATCTTATAATCGAGTTTTTGTAAATCCAAATAAAAAAACTCAACAATAGTTGAAATTGGTTATATCGGGCGCCTATATAAAGAAATTGAACTAATATTTTTAAATTTGATTATTACAGAAAATCTTTATCAGATTGTTCATCAGTAAAGACGATAGACCTATTATATTATTCAAATTTGACGGAATGGATTTAGTCTATCTTTCTATCATACGATTATTTGCGGAAAATGTGGTAGTAAGATGGCGCATAATCGCTAATTGAAGTCAACGGAAAGTTATATGGTGGCAACCAATCAACCCACCAACAGAAAATCTTAAACTTATGTTTATTGTTATTTTCCGTATTAATAATAACCGAAAGATGGGGAGGAATATTCAAATTAATCGTATTCGTATTTTTAAGAGTAACTCTGGAAAGATAAAGGAGCAGTGAAGAACTCCTAATAATATACTATGATATAAAATAATGAAATACATATAGATAGATTAAAAATAAAAATATCAAATGTTTATGTTTTATTTCAGTTTTATTAAACGTTGTTCGAAAAAAAATAAATGTTCATATGTTGAATATAAATTGAAAAAAAAAAATGCATTTTTTTGTATATAAAAATTAAATACTATAAAAATTTAATTCGAGTTAAAGAGTGTAGCTTTTTAAATATTACAAAGCATTGATTATATTTAAAAAAAAAATTATTTTAAAGCTATTAATGTATATAAGCGAATAACAAATTAAGTATAGATCAAAACAATAATATTTCTTATTCTAAAAATTCTTTAATGTGCGCCTTTTCAAATATGTTGTTGTTCTTTAGATCATATAGTTCAATGTCAATTATATTATTCTCAATGTCATTATTTATAACATTTGCTTTGTATGTATACGTTCTCAATTTCCAATAAAGTTTTGCGCATACATCCCGATCATAGTAAGCTCTAGCTTTTTTAACATTAACTACATGTACCTTAAAAAAGCGTAATGGATGATTTTTTATTTGATCCGAAATTTCTTTTAGTTTATCTACCGACACATTTTCAACAGAAAGATAGTCAGCGTAAGTTACAGTAGCGATATTCGTTCTTTTATTATAGTTCTTAATGGCGGCACGATACCATCGATTATCTTTTGCATATTGTACCAAACATGGAGTATTATTATTAAAATTTTGGAGTGGATTTAACTTAGGTGCTATGGCATTAATCAGGCTATCCAACTCTAAGGACAAGTCCTCATATTCGGTTGCAGTAGGAACTACATATAATATATCAGGTTGTACGATATGAATGATTGTGCACTTGAAAGATGTACGAAATTTTTTCAATTTTGGGAATGTAAATATATTAAGCATACTATGAGTACGAACAGTTGACGTTTTGCTTGGACTAAAACGCTCAAAAGGTGAAATCTGTAATAAAAAAATAAATTGATTAATAAAAATACAACACAATACTTTCAAATAATACAAATTATCACTTTCACATACGTCTCTCTCTAAATCATTTGCTGTTATTGTAGTATTTATTGGCATGTTTTCAGCATTATCCTCCGCAAGATTATCAGATGAGATACTTAAATGTTCTTTACACATATTTGAAAAGCCTTCAGTATGATGTTTTGAAATCAAGGTACTCTCTGCATTTGTAGCTTTTTTTATAATATTTTTAGCGTCTAATATATGATTTCTATCAAAATCACTTTTAAGTTTCATATATTCGTTTCTTGTAAACATGGGTTTCTTTGGAGGTGGTGGGTTGTTTAGAAATGTACAATCAAGTTCGTTTGTAGGTTCACCATCCTCATGATTTGTATTTAAAAGATCTAAGCTAGTCGCAAATTTTTGTGCTAAGTCGTCAAAATTATTGTTTTGATTGAGAAAATCAGATGTGGCATTACCGTATTCGTCATCAAGATCGCTCATTTCTTTAATAGGAGATACCTTCAATAAATGTAAATAATTAAAATGATTACAGATTCACAAAAAAAATATAAAAATATTGTATATATGTAATAATTTAGAACAATTATGTCATTATGTTAAAATTTAATATTTTTATTATACGGGAGAGGTAGAAGAAGTCCGTGTTTATTGGCTCTGCATAATTTTATTGAAAAGAAAAAGTTTTCCAGTAGCTAAGCAATTTTTATAAAGCATTTTCAAAAAAAATATACCTTTTAAAATAATGAGTATAAATATTTATATTTATTTATATTATTTATTTATTTTTTATTATTATTTATTTATTATTTAATTGTATATTTATATGTATATAAAACATTCTGTTATTTTCATTCAAAAACAAGAACAAAAATAACATGGTTTAGATACTTACATCATCGATGTCCCTTAAACATCTCACTAAACAGTCATCATCATCATCATTGTGATCATCACTCATCAATGGTAATATTTCTGTGTCCATCTTATTTGAAGGTTCATTTTCTTCCTTCACTAAAACTACCAAACGGTTAATAAGGAGCATTGATGCTAAATCTGTTGCTTGATCACATATACTGCACCATGTGTAGTCCCTCCCTTTGTTTGTTAATGCAGATGGCGAAACTCTCACCATGACCGATTTTCCAACTATTTGTTTGTGTATTATATCTAACACCCTTTCAGAATACTTGGTACCCTTCTTTGGCCCTATACCAATCAATTTATAGGTGTCAGCATATGCCTGTATATTTGCATATGGTGCAAAGGGTAAAATGTCTTTTAATGTAACCATTTCTTCATTTCCGTAATCTATAAATAATACTTTAAATTCATTTTGATTTATCGCTGTAATAATGGCACGATATGTGTGATTATCAGCACTATACTTAGCTATGCACGCTTGGTTTATCCCAAAATCGGTCATCAGAAAACTCATTTCATTCGAATACCTTGCAAAATATTTATCTAATTTCAATCGCATTCTATGCAATTGAGTTTTATCAATTGATTTATGCATGTATATTATTCCATCGTAGTCAATATAGGTAGGATTTCCTTCAAAATATGTCTCCTGAATGAGTTTTCTTTGACGCCAAAAATACGGTGATAGCATTGTAGGCTTTGTTGGAGTTAAATCAATTAAATTGGACGCATATGTATTATCGGAATCAAGACTTTTAGGACTTTTATGTTCTGACGCATAAGTATTCAAAAAGTTATCATCTGGTGTTGATTGCTTTTCTAAAATACAAAAAAATTTTGTTAACATTTTATTTTATTACTATTCTAATTTATATTATTAATGTTATTATTGACCACTTTATATTTAATAAAATGGTAATAAAACACAATATATATACATAGTTTATAATACCATAGTTAAATTAATTTCAACTCGTAAAGTCCCTAAACAAATAAATTGGTTTAAATATATTATTAAAAGATGGTAACGAAACGAACCCAAAAGGACTACCGAAATTGTGGATACTTGAATCGCTTTGAAACTAATGGTATGGACAAATGCAAAACTGATCATTTAGTTTTGATTGCGCATTTTAACGTGATTTTAACGCCAATTAGTTATTAAACATTATCATTCTGGAAAAACACAAAGAAAAATTATTGAAATTATAGGCTTGAATTCATCTTCCGTGCAATACATAATTCAGCCTCACGATCATCAATTGGAAAACAAAGGCAGACAAGCTCCCAATAAAGTTCGAGTCAATGAGATGAAAAATGGATAATAGGAAAAATTCAAAAAAATCCTACATTAAATGTCCCGTCTATTGCCAAGGACGTTGAAATATTTCTTCGAAAGAAATATCATCCAAAAAGTATCCGAAGAGTTTTAAGAAATGCTAATTTTAACGGACAAACTGCCCGGAACAAGCCATTTGTAAGTGACAAAAATTGTAAAATTCGCTTGCAGTTCGCCAAACACCACCTGTACAAGGACAGTTCTTTCTGGAACTCAGTATTCTTTGCCAATGAGAGTACATTGAATCTCTATGGTTACAACAATAACAGCTTCAAATAGTAAAGCTATTGACAAAATTGACTAAAGTCAATTCAAAGTATTGGCTATTGCTTTCTACACATTTTGACCACCTTTCTGGCAATTTGTGGATACCACGTCAAAAAAATTGTTCGTTTTTTAAAGCAAACCAACCAGACACCCAATTTTCGACCTCCTCGTAGGAATCAAAGTTGATGTTGATGGTTGTCCCGGATTAACCCATGATTTTTTCCGTTTAGGATTCTTAAAATAAATCCATTTTTCATCGCCAGTAACAATCCGGTGCAAAACCGATTTTCTTTCGTGTCTTTGAAGCAAAATTTCACAAGTGTTTTTTCGGTTTTCCATCTGTCTTTCATTCAATTCATGTGGCACCCATTTTCCACACTTTTGGATCTTTCCCGTAGCTTTTAAACGGTCAGAAATTATTTGTTGTGCAACATTTAACATTTCTGCCATTTGCTTTTGACCCAAAGTGTCATCTCCATCCAATATCGTTTGCAATTCGGCGTCTTCAAACTTTTTTGGCGGTCTTCCACGTTCTTCATTTCTCACATCAAAATCATTATTTCTGAACCGTTGAAACCATCTTTTGCATGTTGCTTCTGATAGAGCATGATCACCATATGCCTCGACAAGCATTGATGCGACTCTGCACCACTTTTCTTCAAATGAAAACAAAAAATTAATGCTTTCCGCAAATCATCACTTTCTGGTACAAAATTCGACATTTTTGTCTGTTCAATGACTTGATGTATACTAAATATATTTCACACATGTCATAGCAAAAAAACAAAAAAAAAAAGGCTCGTTCACAACAAAAGTTCCCTGTCGGAATATTTGTATCTTTACGCTCACTTCATACCGGTACACCTGGTATTGACACATCTGTATTTATAATACAGATTATTATATTAAAATAAAAGTGGTATATGTGTAATGTAATAAAATAACAAGGGTATATAATAAAATAAATTAAAAATAGTTTATAAATAAAATAAAATAAAATGAATTCATTTACCTATTGTTTTAAATATTTTTCTTAATGAGTCATCAATTATGTCTTTTTTATCTATCACCCATTCAGTCCCCAAGATATTGTCCTTGAAATCGACCCATTTCAAACAGCAAGCGTGTCCCATCTTAACAAGCGCGCTATTTAGTTTTGCATGGTTTTGCTGATTAGGAGCTAAAGCGTCATTGTTATCAGTCGATGTAATCCAAAGTATTATAGGTAATGAGTTATTGCTTTTATCAGGAGTGCCATACAAAGTCGCTGAAAGTTCATTCGAAGGGTTCGTAACAACTCTTGTGAAGAAGTCAATAGCAGTTTTTGACCAGGATTTCCTTTCATTAATGGGTTGTATAGCAGCTAAATGACAGCGTTGAGCACTATCTGAAACATTATCATCAGCTAATGGAATAATATAAATATTTGACTTTTCAACATTTCTTATGATCTTTCCGTAATCACGCAGGAAAATATCGTAAATACTATGTTCTGTATCACAGAACATTATTATACCACGATGATAAATGAAATTGTAATCTTTCTGATCACATTGTTCATCTATTAACTGTTGAACGCACTCCACATATACATTCGCCTTAACAATGCAATGATCATTTTCTTTCCAAATAAGATCTTTTTGTGGTCGAAAATAGTCGATACTTGAAAGTTTGTATAAAAAATTTATTATACCTGGAAGCAATTGTTTCACGTATACATAAAATTCAAATGGATTGATGATCTCAACAATTTCAATTGGTGTACGAATAATAGAATTTTTGTTTTGTTCATCGTATTTGATTTGTGTTTGAGTTTCAATCATTTCCATTCGAAAATTGTTATCAGAATTAATTATCATATCAGATTGTTTTTTCGTACCGGAATTTGTAATATCGCAGTATTCTCCTGAAGGATCGCAAAGCCCTGATTTTATTAATTCAGCAGCAACATCTATATCGCCACTCGTTTTTGTTACATTTAAATTAACTTTATATACATTTAAACTATTTTTGGTGTTTATGTAAATAACAACTCGCGGGTTTTGTACAAGGTGCTTAAATTCTGTTAATGCCTCATTGGTCCATTGATAATTATGCTTTTGAGAAGGTTTAACGCCCAGAAGTTCACATTGAAATATAAATTCTTTTATTTTAACAAATTCTTTCAACAATTCATATAACTGATTCCATTTTGTTGTTATCGTTTTGCCTTCATCTACTAAGAATATATCTATTACACCCCCTGCGAATATGCGCACAATACGGGCACGATACCAAACTCCATCAACTTGCGTAGCGCAACACATATGTATATATCCTACAAAAACCGTTTTCAGTACTTCCTCCTCTGAGTAGAGTTCATTTAAACTTTTATTTAAGTCATTTTTTTCCTTTATCAAGTCTTCTTGCATTGCATAAAATTCTAGGGGATTTTCTATCGAACAGATGCGGCATACTACAAATTGATTATTCAGTAGCATGCGCTTTTGAAAACAATGTTCTTGTCGCGCAAACGCCAAATGGTTGGTAGTACCATTTTCAGATACTTCCATAGCAAAACCTGTATAGAGTAAAACATCTCTCATGCTATAAGAATTATCTTGGTAAAGTGCAATAATATTAACACTCCACTCTCCAGTTGTTATTTTTGACTGATTTTTATTAAGTTCAACAATAACTTCATTACTTGTCAATTGTGTAAAAAGCATTGTGGCATCTTTATCCCATTCAGTTCCTTGCTTAGGTACTAAGTTATACATAGAACAACATATAGCGACATATGGAATATTTATATGTTCTTGTTTGATGGTCCTAAAAGATTTAACTTCAACATCTACAGTTAACCCCAAATCGACCAAGTAAACATTATACACACGATTTATGCAAACATTTTTTACAAGACCCCGATAGTATTCAGAATCAGTATAATGTATTATATAAAGTTTATCTATCTCAATCTCAAACTCAATCGCTGTCTCAATTTCACTGTCCACCTCAACATCAGTATTAATATCATTAAATTCATTATTTATGCTTAAGTCCACTGAATGAGATTTATAAGCATTGGAAATTTGCTGTATAAGTGGTTTATGCTCCTTCAGTTGAATGTAAAACATAGCTGGTGATTTGATAAATGTTACACAACCCATTGGATTATCAGCTGAGGGTAATGATAAAATTTCATGAAAGTTTTCTATTGTTTCATTTGAATCAAATGTTTTTTTTTTCAAAATTGTATAACTTGGGATTTTTTCTTTAACTGGAGTGCGTTTTTTTTTTAAAATCTTACTGGATTTCACTATATTCATTTTATCCAAACTACTTAGAGATAACTCCGATTGAGTTGGATAATTTATATCAAAATCCAAAATTTCAAAATTATAAGAATATAGTGAACCCATTGCAAATTCTGTTGTTGGTTTTTTAACAGCAATACTACAAGTAGAACCAAAATCTATTGCGTTTGTGAACGCAGGTTCAAACCTATAAAGAAAAATATAAGAATATTATAATTGCATATTATCTATATATATGTAGTTGTATATTTAAAATAATAAATAATAATAAATAATAATATGTTCACAGAATGGGATTAATACTACGTTTTCACTTTTACGTTAAGCACTTTATCATAATCTGCCCAATTTTAATTGAAATAAGATACAAGTATTTTGGGGAAAATGAACTTAAGTCAAACGGAATTGCACAGAGTCCGTAATGGAATGTACTGGCTGAATAAATTATAGATGAGATCTTTTAAATGCACTTATGTATGCATAATAAACAATAGCTATTAATTATAATATCAAACTCGCTACAAGATTAGAGGGTTAAAAAGAGTAGGCAATCGCTAGGTTAAGCTGATGACATTAGGTCATAGCTTTAAGTAAATAATTAAAGTATGGATAATTATTGTATGTTTTTAAATTATTTATAAAGAATAAAACAGATGAAAAAAGTAATTGTGATTGCAGCTCTAATCTAGTTAAAAATAATATTAGTTTTACCATACAAAAATGAAATGATCTTTTGGTCGTCATTGGTCACAGCTCTCTTTCAATTAATTATATTATATTGTAAATATATTATTAAATTGTTATTTACATAAAATGTATAATATCAGTAAATACCCCCCTGATCCCTCCAAAATTAAGTAACCGGACTCCTAACATATAAAAATCTGGCGAAATCAATTAATTTCTCTGATTCTCTTTCATAATCTTTCATCAATAAAGATTGTTAACTGCAATATTCTATTTTATCAGGGATAAGTTGGTTGGAATGGTATGCAATAGGCACACAAACATCAGAAAATTTTAATTGAAGTGTATTGTATGTTAAGACTCACATTTATAAACTACTTACGTTATTGGATTATTCTCAAATTTCATATTTTGAGCTTTACAAGGTAGTGTTTCTAAGTAAGTTGAATACTTTTTCAAAAGACCATCTATAGATCGATCACTGGGTGTATTTTTACACAGAAATTCCAAGTTAGTTCGCATAAACTGAAATTAAAAAAAAGGTAAAAAATTTTTAAAGAAAATTTTTGAGTTTTGCTTACGTTTGTTGCAGTTTTAGAATTCTTTAAATTATTCTTCATATTTACAAGACCATCATGTGGAACTTCCCAGAATTCATTGAATTGTTTCATTACTGCCTGTTGTTCCATTTGTAAATTAATGTGAAGCTTACTGTAGTGTTCTGTAACTTGCTCTGCTACGTCTGCCATATATTTTTTTATTTGTGTCTCAAAACGTCTGATATCCTAAAAAAAACAAAAAACCAATAAAAATCTATTCAAGAGAAATAAAAATTTTTTCTGTAATCAGATATAACTACTTATTGAACTGCTAAGTACACTTTGTTTAATAAAATATTACATATAGAGACTAATTTAAAAAAGATCTATTTATTTTTCTTGGAATTAGTCATTCGAGAGAGAGAGATAAATAATCTATTATTTATATTTTAGTAATAGTTGTGTTGCACATTAAAAATACTATACAAACGTTTCTTACACGCATTTTTTTTTGTAAAATTACTATAAAATATTTTTAGTGCTGTGAAACCGCATTTTTTATTTATTTATTGTTTTTTTGGTACTGTTTGACGCTTCATTATTTGATATTGAAAAGCTGATTTTATGTTTTATAAAGAAATTAATTGATAGTTGACTGTGCTTTAATATAAGTAAAAAGTTGCACTCTGCATAAAAGAAGAACACCATAAGAATATGTATAATAGTGTTCAATTTTATTATTAAAGCGTCTGTGTTATATGATATGATTTATACCAAAAATAATTATTTTTTAAATATTACACTGACTTATTTTTTGTTCTTAATTTTTAAAAACTATTTTAAGAATATTCTTTGGTTTATTAATTTTTTTATTGTTCCAATCTTTTTCCATGGCCATAAATATTTTTTCTATGCTTCTTTAGATAATTAATGAAACTCTAATTTTTTCCTTTAATTAGTTAATTCGTTAACATTTAATATCTATTCATTTTTTAAGTGAGTTAAGTTATGAGTTAAATAATTAATTAAATTAATTACGATAAATAAAATAAGAAGGAGAAATAGTTGAGAAATTACAAAAGAAATAGAGCCACGCATTTTATTTATTTACTTCAATTAAATTATCTCGTTTCACGACGACATAATCATTTAAGAGTTGACATAAAAGTAAACTTTATTGCTTTCGAAGTAGCTGCAATTGTTGCAGTTTAAGTGGCAGCAACATATTTATTAGCAATGCGTTGTAGATATAGAGCTGTGGCAGCTACTGGTAAGCATAATAAATTAAAGCAGCTGCCGTGACAATATAATTCTTCTTTCATTTTTTTATTTTTTTGTTTTTTTTTTTTTGATTATACTAACTAAACAGGTTGAACTAAATAATGACGTCGTTCATGTGGACCTATGGGGGTTCTAAAATTATTTTATTGCTTTTGAAACATTTTAATTGACTTAATAAGTTTCACTTGAATGCACGATTCTATAGATGTGTTTCGAATTTATAGTTATAATGTATAATTTTTATATGTAACGAGTAATACGGTTGTATGGTTAATAAAGATATCAGAAATTTATGGAATCATTGCAGATAACAACAAAAGATTGCTAAGATAAATATTTTATTTCATATAAATAAGTGTTGTTAAAATAAACTATATTATTTAGGGAGTAATAGTACTGACAAAAATAACATAACATTTATATATCGTAAGAGCTATGATCTGAAAGTATGTGGTTTCTCAAGTGAAGTAATAATTTGTGTATTGGTTTTACTATCATTAACGGATGGGTGAGCTATAGCTGCGATGCTTAGTGTATAAATGTTGTATCAGAATGCTGTACAGAATTTTGAGTTCAACTCACTAGTACCATTCTATAACCTCATTAGTTTTTTGAGTCCGTTACTTTTTTGTATATTAAGTTTTAATAATATATACAATATTTAATTTTTAAGTGGATATTTTGGATTTATTAAATTTATATTTAATAACTAATATTAAACTAATATTAATATTAATGTGTTAACATCTCACTAACATACAATTGCAGTTAGCTTGCTGTGGTTCCCGATATTTGCATGGACTCACGATTAAGTAAGATAACAGCAATAAAAGTTACATGATACGACATAATTTCTTTGTATCTGTTTAGTATATTTAAGATTAAAATTTAAAATTATATTTAATACTCTTAGAAATCTTAAAAATAACATTTAAGACTAAATGATCAAATCTTATTACAAAGCTTAAATAGACTAAAAGTTTTATTTATAAAATAGAACCGTTAAGAGTTAATAATTATTTATTTGGTTAAAAGCAAAAATTTATTTCTTTTATTTTTTTAAAATTTTATCTTAGATTAATGGTAATATAATGACAATTTTTACTATTTTTAAAAATTTATGCTTATTTTATTTCAACATAATGAAACTTTAAAAGACCACAAGCGATTATATTTAAAAAAATGATTTTAAGATGCTTTTGTTTTAGTTTACAATCACTTTTTGTTCATAAGTTAAAAATTATAAACAAAATAGAATTGGACTAAATCCAAAAATGAAGAATATATTGTTGCATTGGGCCAAAAAAATAAAAACAAAATATAAAAACATTTATTAGATTGTGGGTACAAGTGCAAATTTATAAAAAATGAACGTGTAGCAGATGTCAGATGGAGGCAGTTATCTGGCACTTTTCAGATTTGGATCTTGAATTTTTTTTATTTGATTTAATTTTTTTGCTTACTGACAATGTGTGAACAAGAAATTTCAAATTTACTTCAATACATCACAAAAATAATGTTGCAAAGACCATCAATTAATATTTGGCAATTTTGTCGAATGTGAATTTAAACGTTCACGTCAACGATTTCGTTCAGCGATGACAAAATTAGAATGTACGCTTTTAAATTCAACAAGTTTGGCTGTAAATTAAAAAAAAAACACAAAAAAAAAATACTCAACAACTTAAACTAAAATCAGATAAACTTAAATCCAAAGTTTGAATCAGTGATGCTTTAAAAAAACAAAAAAATTATTTGAAAAATTTAATTATTTCATTAATTAAAAAAAATCATATCGATAATTTTTGATTTCATTTAATCTATGTGTTGTAATATTGAATTTAATTAGAATGTGTTGAGGATAAAGGAAAAATTTGAGTTCAAGAGTTGAGTACTTGTATATACCTTCTGCTCATCCCGATTTTGTTGTTTGTTAACTATTCCTTAAGTAATAGACCTTTCTTGACATATGGTACAAATTTGAACGCCATCTGTCAATTAGTTTGTTTACAGCAGTTGTTAATGTGAAACTACCTCAAGTGCATTTAACTATTTTTACTATGGAAAATTCTTGTTGTACGCGATTTTTTGATCTAACACGGCACCACTGTCATCGCTCAGGCACCATATTCGCCAGATCGGGATCCGTGCGATTTTTTCCTATTCCCGAAACTCAAATTGCCCCTTCGTAGTAAGCGTTTTGAATCGATTGAATCGGTAAAAGAGAATTCGCTAAAGGAACTTAAAGCCATACCTGCACGGGCCTATGAAAAGTGTATGGAAGATTGGGTTCAGCGTTGGCATGTGTATCGTTTCAGAAGGAGCAAATTTTGAAGGAGATAAAATAAATTTGGAATAAAATTTAAATTTGTGTGTTTTATTTACAAAATCCGAGTACTTTTTGAGCAGTAGTTACATACACTCATTTGAATTTCTTTTATTTGTGAAATCGTCCATAAATTTTATTCAAATTGCAGTTTGTGTCTTAAGTCTTTTGATATACACGTACTCGTGTTCGTTAAATTTAGAGTTGAATAAGTCTTATACAGTTTAATAAATTGATTAATATTTAATAAATGATACACATTTTTTTTAAATTAATTTATTGAATTTTGTAACAAATTGAATCTTACACAGAAAATAAAAAAAAATATTTTGAAACGCGAGACGAGTATTAATTACTAATATCTTTTAAAAACAATCTATTGATATCATCTTTTAACAAGATACAAGACGCAAACAACATTTTTGTAATTTGTTTAAAAATTCCTGTGTGTGAAGTTAACAATTCGAGATATTGGATTTGAGAACCGCAAACAACTTTTGGAGTAAAAAAGTGAGGTTAAAGGTAATCTGCGTGCTTTGGTCTAAATACAATTATTATTTTAGAATGTGTACAAAATGATTAAAATGCAATTAATTTGAGGTTAGCAGGCCCAAAATTAAAATAAACATAAGCAATTAGTAAGCCATTTTGCTTATAAGAATTGAGATATTGTATATGTCATTAAACATGCATTTGTTTATTAAACAAAAAATAAAAAAATAATTGAAGTTTTTTATTTTGCAAATTTTATAATTTAAAAAAATTTTAAAAAAAAATCTAATTTTTTTCTAATTATTTAACTATTTTTGTTATTTAGAAACAACTTAATATTGTTGTTGCGTGTCTGTCCGTTCACAATATTGTATCTTAATTGTGTCTTAAATTAATAAAAGAGCTCAGCATGATTGCGCGATATATGTATTGTATTTAAAATTTTTTTTTTGAACAAATGGCTTTTGTTTCTGAATCTGGTTGGCTTGTAATCTTAAGTATAAAAGGCGTGAACCGACCCACTGTAGCATGTCTGATGTGCGTGGGTGTCAAGAATATTCCAATGTTTTTGGTTTGAAGAGCATTAAATTACCTTTTTGAAATTAGTTTGTTAATTGTGAGGATTAGCCTTGGATTTTTGTTAAGGTTTACATTATAATTTCAAAGGAAGTAAATTTTTTTTTATAAAATTATTATATCAAATGACTTAAGATTTTTTTTATATCTCAGATTAAATTTTCAAATTTATATAATTAATTTTATAATTAAGTAATTTAATTTGGTAAAATATATGGAAATATAATGCGATAATAAAGTTTTTTTTGTCTAATTAATATTATTTCAAGGTTCTAAATTTTTCTACTAAAATTACTGAAATATTAAAATGGAAGAGTTTTGAATACTTTTCTATAGTTGTGATGTAGTAGAATATGTGTTAGTGATTAAAATAAGATACAGTCTTAATTAAAGCAGTAAACAGATAATATATATTTAATTCCTTTAATTAGGATTGCGAGCGTAACTCTGATTTAGGGTTGTAAGATATGCCACGAATCCGATCGTCCTCATAAAATCTGGCATTCTCAATTTTCAACTGTTGCCTTTTTATGGAGTAACTGAAGATAGTTCGCTTAATTGACACAA